GACCCTGGAGTCCTCACCCCAGCCCCTCCTCCCTCAGACCCGCAGTCCCAACCCCAGCCCCTCCTCCCTCAGACCCGCAGTCCTCACCCCGAACCCCTCCTCCCTCAGACCCGCAGTCCTCACCCCGAACCCCTCCTCCCTCAGACTCGCAGTCCTCACCCCAGCCCCTCCTCCCTCATACCCGCAGTCCTCACCCCAACCCCTCCTCCCTCAAACCCGCGGTCCTCACCCCCGGCCCCTCCTCCCTCAGACCTGGGGTTCCCCCAACCTTCTCATCCCCCAGACCCAGGAATCTAAATCCCAGAATCCCTTCCTTCTCCAGAACCAGGAGTCTAGACCCTCCAGCCCCTCCTCCCTCAGACCCAGCAGTCAGGGACTCCTGCCCCTTCTCTTTGGGTCTCTGCCCCCCTATTCCTCAGATACAGAAGTCTTGAACCCATATCCCCCCCCTTGTCTCTTAGACGCCCAGGACCTAGTCCTCCTTTTGGGACCCAGAGCCCCAAAACCCAGCCGCACCTTCTTCCCCCAGACCCAGGGCTCAGCCCTAGAGGGGACAAGCCCCCTTCTCTCTCAGGCTTAGGAGGGGGAGATGACTCAGATAATAAACACAGGCTTGCTGGTGCTGACTCCCCTGGCTGAAGTGAGCAAGTCCACATTTCCCACCGCATCCAAAACTCTGCTGCCGCGTGGCTGGCGTCCCTGCACTGTCCCTTCCTGCAGAATGAAAGGCTCTTGCCAAAGCCACAGTCCCTCACGGGGTCAGAGTGAACACTTCCACCAGGGGTTCAAACCTGGCCAGCTCAGGAAGTTCAAGTGAACCGAGGTTTACCTTGTTTACTGAGTGATCGGATGTGGGGACCCCTCGGTCCTCCCCACTCAGACCCACAAGGCGGGGTCCCAGCTTCCACACAGCCTGACCCTCCCTGCGTCTCCCCTCCAGGACGAGCTGTGCGGGGCCCTCTGGCGGCTGGTCCTGGCCCAGCGCTGGATGATTCGCCTCAAGGCTGTGGCTGGGGCCAAGATGTGGGACCTGCTGGAGGCTGTGGACACCGAAATCCACTTTGTCACCTTGTGCACCTTCCAGGTGACTGTGAACTTGGGGCCAAGTGAGGACAGCGGGGCTGCCTTCCGAGGGACTGGGCAGGACATCGGGCTAGGCCTTTCTAGAAGTTTGTCTGGATGACAGTCCCCCAGGGAGGGGGACTATGAGAAGAGATTTTCCTTCTCTAGGCCCTGAGGACAGAAGGGGGTAGGTCATTTTGGTGGGAGGACCTATTGCTGGGTGTTGCAACCAGGGAGAGAAGGGGGCGCCTGAAACTCAGAGATCCCCGGTCCTCCGGCCCTGATAAAGGGTGCTTCCCCCCTGGCAACCAGAGAGAGGGGCTGGGGAAGTAAACTAGGATGCAAACCTCTTTGGGTGTTGCTAAGGTGCTCTCTCTCCTAGCAACTTGGGAGAGATCTAAACTTCTGAGAACCAGGCTTACCTAAATAACTAACGCCTTGTCACTGGGTGTTGCTAAGGGTATTTCCCCCCTAGCAACCAGGAAGTGATGGAGGTTGGAAGCCTTTTCAGACTGTAGTCAAGTGTTGCTAAGGGGTGTTTCCCCCAGCAACCAAGGACTGAAAAAGCATCTAAACACTCTCAGACTGTTGTCGGGTGTTACTGGCACCCAAGGAGTTTTGGGGATATAAACTCAGACTGGACTAGGCCCTGCTGTCTGCTGTTGCTAAGGGGTAGTTCTTCCTAGCAACCTGAGAGTGCTGGGTGGGGATGTCAACAGTCTTGAGAGACCCCAGCCTCCAGCGCCCAGCTGCCCTCGACGTGGGGGGCCCCTTGGCCTGAGAGTCGCCAGGGGGTGATGCGGTGGTGACGGTCTGCCTCCCTGCCCCCAGCCCCTCCCCAGCTGCCTCCGCTTCGTCCAGACCAACATCTCCCACCTCCTGCAGGACACCTCGCTGCAACTGGCTGCCCTGAAGCCCCAGATAAAGAACAGGAATTTCTCCCAGTGCCTGAAGCTGCTATGTCAGCCGGGTAAAGGCCCCCAGCCCCCTCGCCCTGCCGTGTTCTCAGCCCCGGTGTGACTGCGACACCCCCCCCCCCAATGTTCCCATGCTACCTTCTGACTGTGACCCGGGGAATGTCCTATCCAATTTCTGGACCTCAGTTTACCCAATTCTGAATACCGACTCACAGCAGTTCCATGCCACAGAGGAGAGCTGCCTCCCAGCATTTTCAAGGCTGTCATGTTAGTGGTAAAAACCGGTGCTACAATCCCAAAGGCACGTGGTTCAAATCCATCAGCTGCTCTGTGGGAGAAAGATGGGCACTCTTCTCCCATGTGATTTAAGGCCTCTAGAAATCCACTGGATGGCCAGCCATGAGTCTGTTTTGACTTGAAGGCACACCACCACCACAACAACCACCTTTATGGAAACACAGTCTCGTCTTTTTACAGAGGAGCAGCTGGTGGATATGAACTGCTTACCTGCTGGTTGGCAGGTGGATTCTTAACCAGCTGAAGTCAGAGAAGAGACCGAAGGGGACACATTCTGTTGAACCCTGTGGATCAGTCATAGTTCTTCATGCTTTACATTTTCCAGTTTGTTTTTTTATCCCTCTATGCATTCCACATTTGAGGTCTGGTGCTGGAGAAGAGTGTTGAGGGTAGGTACCATGGACTGCTAGGAAAACAAACAGATTCATCCTGGAAAGGGTTAAACTGGGTGGCTCCTTGGAGGCAAGGATTCTGAGGCTCAGTCTAACATACTTTGGACATGTTGTAAGGAGAGACCGGTCCTTGGAGAGGGACGTCATGCTTGGGAGGGTGGAGGGACAGCGCAGGAGGGGAAGGCCCTCTATGAGGTGGATTGATTCAGTGACTGGGGTAATGGGGATGGGTGTGTTGGAGACAGTGCAATTGGCACAGGACAAAGCTGAGTTTAGGGCTGTTGTATATAGGGTCGCTATGAGTTGCAAGCGACTCGACAGCACATAACAACAACAACATGCATTCCACAACTATTTCATGAGCACTGACTAATGATCAGTGAATTAGACAGCTAAGCCTTCTGCTGCCCACAGACCCTCAGACACCCCCGGAAACCCTGTGGACACAGTTCTGCCATAGACAGGGTCACCATGAGTCACCACCACTTCACCACAACGTGTTCATTCTGTTTTTTTCATTGTGTCAAGTGAAAGTTGACGAAGCAAATTTGTTTTCAACCCTTCAGATTGTTGTTGTTGTTGTTGTTGTTGTTGTTTTGTGCCATCGAGTTGCTTACGATTCATATCAGACACTCTGTTTCATAATGATAATTGTCCTACTTACAGGGTAGTTCCACTCTTCCCATTTCCTCCCTGTGATTCTTGTTTCCCTTCACCATCCTAGCCTGTCCCTTCCTGTCCGTAGGCCCTTCAGCTACTGGTTTGGTGTTTTGTGTTTTTTTTTTTGTTTTGTTTTTTTTTTAATTTTATTCTTTTTTTGTGTGTACCATCAAACTGGATCTGACTGGTACAGGAGGAGATTGCCCCTTCATCTCCAGCAAAGCATCTGGTGGATTCAAACCGCTCACCTCTGGGATTGCAGTGCAGCTTCTTGCCATAGGCGTCCAGAGCTCCCTTAGCTACTGGTTTTTTGTTTCTTGGTGTTTTTTTTTAAATTTCATTATTTTTTGTGTGTACCGTCAAATCAGATCTGACTGGTACAGGAGGACATTGTTCCTCCTTCTCGAGCAGAGCATCT